AAGTCCATAATCAACATCGGAAAGCTCTAACCAAAAAGTAAATCGTCTTTTCTTCTCCAGCTGTGAATCCATGCTCCTCATTTCCATGTCAGAATGGAGGTAACTGTTCAAGAACGGGAAGCAACTTCACATGTTCATGTCCTAGCGGATTTAAAGGTCACAGATGTGAAATAGGTATTTAATACTTGCGTCTTAAGACAGGAAATGCTAAATTGAATTTTGCAAGAAAAAAAAATGCCAGATGCTTACAACGAGTTGTCTTGATCTGCTCTATTTTTTTTCGCCAGTTTAGCTGAGCTTAAAATTGAACAGGAATCTATACCCTTAAAGAATTTCGAGAAAACGTAAAGAAGTATACGGTTGCGAAGGAATGCTTTGTCATTTCCGGAAATTCCTATGCTTCCAAATACCTGGCAATAAGGGAATGTATTTATGTATTAGTTATCTAACATGCTTAGCAAACATGTTACAATTATTTTTAATCAGACATCAACGAATGTATTGCTAGCGAAGCAAATTGCAAAGACGAAAAACGTTGTGTGAATACCAGAGGTGGATACCAGTGCATTTGTCCCGGTGGTGAATATGGAGAGAGCTGTGAATACAGTAAGTACAATTAACACAGTAATTTCACGTTTATAGTTACAAGCCATTGATTTTATTATTTATTAATTCATTTTGTTTTCCAGCAATAGATCTTATTCACGATACCCGCCGTCTTTGCACGCGCTCAAAGACTGATGGGATAAAAGCAATGTCACGTGGTTTCTCAGGGGGAAAACGAGTGAAAAAAAACTTTCCAATGGAAGAAATCGCGGTGAAGACTTTTTCATTTTAAAGACGATTATGTCAAAATGTGTGTCGAAGTGATCATTGTTACTTTTTTGTATGCACTAGCGGCTGGTAAACAGTAATGACGTAGATCTTGCCAAAACTCGATATGTACGTTTTCCATGACTATGAAGTCGTCGTCTCGCTTTGATAGAATAAAGAAACTCAACCGCGATCACTCGTATTGGCAAATGTTATCACTTGTTTGCCCCCTGAAATACCACGTAACATAGCTTTTATCCCATCAATCCTAGAGCGCGTGCAAAGATGGCGGGCATTGTGAATAAGGTCTATTTCTAAACTTTCAGACATAGCGTTAATATTTCTCGCGCAAGTCAATGAGATTCACACACACACACACACAAAGTATTATTTCATTCCTACTATACTTCTTTGGCATACAATTTTCAGCATCTGGGATCGTAAGCCGAGAAACGGGGAGTCAGTAGAATGGTGTTTTATCCCTGTGTTTTAATCCTATTATTTAACTTTAGGTATCGATACGAAACTTGACCTCGCCTTTTTAATTGACGGCAGTCAAGTGGTGACTGAACAAAATTTCCTGAGCTTCACATCCTTCGCCAAGGCGATCAGTGCGTCTTTAAATGTCTCAAGGGATGAAACACGTGTTAGTGTGGCCATATATGGAGCCGCTCCAGCCCTCATCATACACAATCAGTACAATCAGTCGGCCATAGATCACGTCTTAGACAACGCACGTTATACTGCAAGTCTTCAGAGTAATTTGGGTGAAGCTCTCTTACATCTTGCTTCAAAGCTGTACAACACAAGTAACCCGCGACCAAATACCACAAGAGTCTTGGTCATCCTAACAGCTAGCAAATCTCAAGACGATCTCTTGGTTCCGTCCAACATGCTGCTCAATCATTACAATGTAAAAGTGTTTGTCCTTGCGGTTGGTAATCAGTATAGCCATGGGCAACTGAATGAGGTCTCTTCAGATCCAGACGCAAACTATATCCATACTTCCCCCACTGGGCATGATCTTTCAACGCAAGTTATTCCTTTCAGGGAAAATTTATTCTTCGGTTAGTATACGCCTTTCTCTTTCCTCTCCTTAGTTATTCTTTTAAAAACAAATGATGAGAAATTTGTATAATTGTTGATTATTCAAATTAAACTACTTTCGTTAACTTTCAGCTGTAGATCCATGTTCTAGTGGTCCCTGTGTGAATGGCACATGTCAATCTTTTGGGGGTGGATACACTTGCTTCTGCCAGCCGGGGTATTCAGGAATAAACTGCGACCAAGGTGCGACTATTTTATTATTATTTTAGTTTATTTATTTATTTATTTTTAACAGTCAAGCTCCGACCTAAATTCAGATGGAATATTGCAGCAGGTATTTATTCAACAAGCTGGGTCAAAAACATAAATTCTTATATCTCTTTTTCTCTTGATCAACCTTCTGACACTTAGTCTGCAGGATATTCAAACAACGTGAGAACAAAAAAAAGCTTGATTATCGCAAGTAAACCTCGAAGGGAAAGGGAAAGGGGGCTGTAGGAGTTAAGGTAAAGTGTAAAATCGCGTGATTAGTATTAAAACTAGCTCTCCGTCTAAAATTACACCTAGTAAGATATTAATGTAATAGACAATGCTTTGGAAACTAGGATAGATTCAGCTAGTAACTTTTAAATTTTCCACAGTATCTGCCTAACAAGGTAGTCATGACTACACTGTGGTTAAAGCACAGATAGTAAGACTGCCCAGCACGAAATTTATTCGCTCTGAATGATTGTTCTGTTTGTTTTCTTAGTCAATGATGCATGTAGTCCTGATCCCTGTAAGAATCGTGGTTTATGTCAAGTGTTAAGGCTGAATTCTTACTACTGCGCATGCCCTGAAGGATGGACTGGACCTCACTGCGAACAAGGTAATAGAGGACAAAAGAAAAAAAAATGGTGTTAAATTTGCATGGGAGATGTTTGTAACAGAGCGGTCGTTTCCTCTTTTTCTAGATGTCAAAGAATGCTCAATGGCCGACAATGTCTGTCAGAATGGAGGAACTTGTGATGAGAGAATGGGTTACTATATTTGTAACTGCCAACTGGGATTTGCTGGGAAAAACTGCACCAAAGGTATGGCTGACAGCTTCAGTATCAATTGCACACATATGAAGTGCGTATTTCTCCATACAGAACATTAAAAGCATCAGCGTTAACTAACCTCAACTAAACGTTGCGTGATGAAAGAACGGGTGGGCGAGGTATGGACGGGAGGGCGGACGGACGAATGGACTTGGGGACGAAGTGAGCCAATCAAGGAACTCAAAGTACACCGTGAAGCGGGGGCCAACTTTTGTTCCCCAGCATTGAAAATTGGCTTTCATTTTTATCATACAAAATAGAAATAAACAATAATAATCATAATCATAATCATAATCATAATCATAATCATAATCATAATCATAATCATAATCATAATCATAATCATAATAATAATAACGATAACTTGCACGTGAACAACCTCCGTCTGACGCGAGCAATCATAACATGTACATCTAAATGCAGCTTGGTTATTTTAAGTTGCCGATCCCAAGAACAACACCTAAGAAACGACGCAACACACCCTATTGTAAACTTACCTACTACCCTTTGTATTCGACAGTGTTCCAAGAAACCATGATTGACCTGGTGTTTATGATAGATGATTCCACTGTTCAGCCTCAGGCACGCAGAAATATCTCCAATCAAATAGTACAAGTGATCAAGTCCACGTTAAGCTACTTTCCAAGTCAAAACACGAGGGTTGGGCTAGTCCTCTATGCAGCTGATACTACCACAGTGGGTAACTTTAATGCCACGAGAAACGAAACAAATCAAGCCCTGGAGCTGTTACCACACCTTCCTGAAGGGACATTCACCGGCAAATCACTTAATTACACAAGAGAGCATTTCTTTAACAATAGCCGTGCGAACGCACATCGCGTCCTAGTAGTGTTCACTGATGAGACTTCTAACGATGTGGTTTCGGTTGCGTCTAAATTGCTGCGTGACATGAATGTAACTATCATCGTAGTTGCATTGGGGAATTGGTTCGATGTCACCCAAGTCAACAATATGGCTAGTCATCCCCGCTCAGCGACGGTGCTTCGCACTACACACGTCGAAATAATGGAAATACCTTGGAGGGTTCATGAAATGATCGGCGAAGGTATGTCAAGGGTATAACGCAACAGAATTAGAGGTAGATAGATGCCATAACTTAACTTCTTAGCAACCCATGTGAAAATAACGGTACTTGCATCAACTCCTTGCTTGACTACGGTTGTTCATGTCCTAATGGCTTTACTGTGTCATTTTGCGAGGAAGGTGAGGTAACAATTTGTTTGTTTGTCTTTACTGAAATGATTAAAAAAAAGAGAGAAATGTTGGAGTTCATAATGCTAATGTTGAGGACAACGACGACGACGACGATGATGATGATACTGATGATGATGTTGATGATGATAATAATAGTGATGATGATGATGATGGTAGATCTAAGGGTGGACGGGGGACGGGCAGACCGGACGAAGGTAGGGAAGGGCGAAGGGATTCAATCAAGGAACTCAAAGTTCATCTCAGAATTTCTCTCCTCTTTATCCACAGCTGTTGACCATTGTTTCAGCAACCCTTGTGCAAATAATGGTACTTGCAACAACTCCCTTCATGGCTACCGATGTTCGTGTCCTGAAGGCTTTACTGGGTCACTTTGCGAGGAAGGTTAGACAACAGTTTGTCTGTTTTTCTTTACTAAAATGATGGAAAAGAAAAGAGAAATATTGGAGTTGTTATTCATAATGCTAATGTTGAGGACAACGACGACGACGACGACGATGATGATGATACTGACGATGATGTTGATAATGATAATAATGATGATGATGATGATGGTAGATCTAATGGTGGACGGGGGACGGGCAGACCGGACGAAGGTAGGGAGGGGTGAAGGGAGTCAATCAAGCCACTCAAAGTTCATCTCAGAATTCCTCTCCTCTTTATCCACAGCTGTTGACCATTGTTTCAGCAACCCTTGTGCAAATAATGGTACTTGTAACAACTACCTTCATGGCTACAGATGTTCGTGTCCTGGAGGCTTTACTGGGTCACTTTGCGAGGAAGGTAAGACAAAAGTTTGTTTGTTCGTCTTCACTAAAATAATTGAAAAGAAAACAGGAAATATTCGATGCTGGCCACGAAGTGTCCACCACATTCGTCGGTGTTCAAGGTAAATTGAGAAAGGAGTAGAGGGGTAGTGACACTAGCCTTCCACGCAGACGTTCTTAGGGGTTCGTCACACGTTCCTGCCCCACGCTATAGTAACATGTCATCAGTATGGAATTCCTGCGCCGCGAAATGTAGGCTGCTTTCTCTAGCTTTTTTAATGAAAATGTTATTCGATGTCTATGTTAAGAAATGAAAACTGAGATTCCACAAAAGTCTCTCACGCGTCAGGTAAATACATAGATGCAGTGGCGGATGCAGGGGAGGGGCCCGGGGGGCTCGCCCCCCCTCCTTATTTTTAGATGAAAATGAGGCCCGAAGGACCGAAAAAAGGTTTTTTTGAGCTCCCCGGCCCCTGATCTCAGGATCTGGATGACGCCCCCCCC